ATACATCTGAGCATGTATGCAGATGCTGATTCATTTTTTCAGTTGTTCAATATGGTGGAGGAGCAGATTGTGACTTAAATGTCACTGTACTGTGTTCTAGTGGGCGTAGCACAGACAGCTGTATGGTCAGTGCACCCTATCAGTCCTTTCCAGTAGCCACCCACTTTTCTTGAAGCACTTTGCCAGGCTCCACTAGCCCCTTCTCCATAAACAAACTTGTATTTATTAGTTTTTTATGGGACCTGTCAGAATTGTGAGGAACCATTTGTCACTATGACATTAGTAGCTGGCAGTGGCTTGTGGATGTCTTCTGTTTTGAATCCAAAGGAATGCTTCTCTCATGCTGGAAATTCAGCCACATTATAAGGTTCTTGAAGGCAAACTGTGGTGAATATATATTCAAAAGCATTTTTTACATTTATTTAGTGTGTAGGTATACGTGTGCATGTGGGCATGCATGTGGAAGTCAGAGGACGTCTATAGGAGTCAGTTCTCTCCTTCTACCACAGGAGTTCAAGGGATTGAACTCAGGTAGTCAGGTGCTAAGTGCCTTTACCTGCTGGGTCATCTTTCTGACCCTTTTTAAACAAATTCTGGCAAAATGTTCTACTGGTGAAAAAGGTTGTTATGGTGGGAGGGATGGCATGAAAGAAGCAGGGTTTTAAAACAAAACCATTCCAATTATTTTAAAAGGATAAAAAGCCCTTTAAAACGAATTCTTTCCTGGGAGGCTCCAGAGACGCTAACACCCCAACTTCCTTTTCCTGGATTTAGTTCACTCAATTAAGAGGCCATTTCTCCTTCCCCATAACTTGTTTAGTTGTGTTAATGCTTATACAAATGCTTAAGTAATACCCATACTTTTTTTTTCTAGATTCATATTCACTAAGCAACTATAATAAAAATGTTATGCATGATTCTCTGTAGCAGAAATGCTAAGCAGTAAAGTTACTGATCGTTTGAGAAAAATCTGCAAATTGAAAATATAAGACTGAATTTTAGACTTGGTATAGAAATAAAATGGATATGGTCTCTCAAATTTCTCTGAGTCTAAGGATATGGGTGCATGCTTGTTTAAAGGGAGGCTTCACTCTCATCTTCAGGCACTAGAGAATTCTTAGGATGAGGACTTGGACCCTGCTTCAAACTTTTTGAACTGTTAAAGGGTTCACAACCCTGTTTGATCCCATTTTAATCCATTCTTCAGTAAATGTTTGCTGGATGAATTCTTGGAGCATCCCATATTCTGAGAACATGTGAAAAAAAATCCATTCTCGCTGCCTTTTTCTTCCTCCAAGAGACACCAACCAGTCATGTTTCAGGCTAAAACTTTAAAGAGAAAGTTTTCATAATAGTGCACCTGTGAGTGGAGTAGGTGTTGGAGCACAGGTCAAACTGGGTTCTGAGGAGGGAGGATGCGCCTCGTTCCAGTACTAAAGCAAATCTGATATCATCAGAGGCAAAGTCATTCCACAGAGAATGCACAAGAGGATACCTGGAGGGCTGAGCAGCCTGTGGTGACCTGAGCACTGTGGACAGCGCAGCATGGCTGAAGTCAGGATCAAGTTTGGAATAAGATGAGACTGACAAATCAGGTGACTCCCAAGAGTCACATGGTGATTAGCCTTACATGTCACCTTGAAGAAGCTAGACTGGTTTCCTACAGACATTTTGGAGTTTTTGAGAGAATAAATCTAGATGTCTCTAGCACTTGATATAAAAAACTGAAAATACAGGTGCAAAAGTCTGAAACCTGAAACTTTCTGAAGTAGTAACATAACTCAAAATATCTTGGATTTTAGAGCATATCAGATTTCAGACTGAGGGTACTCAATGGTAAAGCCTATACAACCTTATTACAAAATCTCAAAATCTAAAATTGGAAGCATTTGAGGATAAGGGATACCCAACCTGAGTAACTTAAAAAGAATGCTTTAGGACTGGAGTTCAGTTCAACTTTATTCAGACCACTGCTTTCCGGCTCAATGTGGAGGTCTGCTAATCTAGTGGAAACTTCCTCGGCTGCTGTCACACATAGAATCTCAATATGCAAAGTCCATGAAAGGACTGCTTGAGCTGGTGCATAGCCCAGCCCTGTAACAATGTTCCTGTAAACACCAAGCTTTGTGGGAACAGTTTAGACTGAATAATTGACAGGATATTATGAATCTTTTCATTGAAGCGTTTTTTAAAATTGTACTGTTAGAGGGAAATATATAATGCAGGGTACTCTCCATCTCTGAAGACAGTTCCTTCTGCCATGCCTAGTATGTAACGCCTTCTGTACAGTAGTTCTTGGGAAGTGGTCACAGTGCTGGACTCGATGTCAATGTGAACTCTTCCAGTGAAGGGGGGCATTGCAATCTCCTGAAGCTTACTCTCGCTAAGTAGGCTCATTTAGCCACTTCCACTTTATGATAAGTAGATATATTTTCCAATTTAAGGAATGTTTTCTGGAATATTATAGCTGACAAGACTCCTGTTATTCACCTTGAAGTTTATTCAGTCTTTTCTTAAAACAGACTCTCCGTTCTCTAGCACTGATTCCAATTCGTTAGCGTTGCCTTTGACGATAGTTATCAGAAATAGGTACACTTTCATTCCTTATTTTATGGCTCTCATTGCTATCTGTGTACTAAACAAACAAACAAACAAAGAACCTAAAATCAAAGGGCCTATGGGGCATTTCTGATATATATTTATTATTTTTATGTGTATGAGTGTTTTGCTTGCATGTATGTAAGTGCACTTGTGTCATGCAATGCCATGAAGTAGAGTGGAAAGGACTCAGTGTTGAGCTGGACATGGATTCACTGATGGAATGCTGGCATTGAACAATATAATGAAAACTCATATGATGTTAGGATTGTCAGATATCGTTTGTGTGTCTGTGTACACACCAGTACATGCACTGACTATAAAATAAGAGTCTACAACAGTGAGAGGAGCAAAATAGAAATTCGCTGTTTGTGGAAATGAATGAAGTAAATGGTCATACCACCAGGCTAAAGAAAGTATCTTCAGGGCTGGAGAAATGGCTCAGTGGTTAAGAGCACTTACTGCTCTTGTAGAAGACCCGAGTTTGAGTCCCAGCACCCACACAGCATCTAACAACTGTCTGTAACTTCAGTTCCAGGGGAATCCTATGCTGTCTTCTGACTTCTTAGGGCACTGCATGATACGGGCACACTTCCATACATGCAGGCAATACACTCATACACATAAAATGAAAATACATTTAAAAATTTTTTTAAAAAGAAAGTATCTCCAGTTTTGGAAGTCTCAATTTTGTTCAATCCAAGGGGAAAACTGAAAGGTTCCTGACCAAGGAACCCAGTGAATGACAGACATGAAGTCCTCAAGTTTGAGTATGAGACAATTAAGACCATACTGACTATCCCATCCATCAAGCTGACTTCACAATAAGGCCCAGTTTTGAAGTAGGAAAATGGGTGTGTATTAAAATGATCTCACATGGGTATGGCAAAGATAGGCATAAAGTAGACATTTCGGGACAAAATAGTTCCGAGGGCTTTCACAGCACCACAAGACAGTGCTCTGGACTGATGCCATGGGAGACTCCAGCTTTCACAGCTGCTCCATGTGGGCTGTAGACAGGCTGAGAGGACACACTTGCTTCTCATCACAGAACTCTAGTCTCTCAAGTGTTTCTTTCATGTTTTGAAAATACATGGAAGAAGAAAGCCAAGTAGAAGGCACTCCAGACAAGAAACACTGCTGACCCAGGACTAGTCAGATCTAGCTCTCAATCCTTAAACATCTACAAAACAGTTCAGCAGAGTTGGAACCTTATGAGAAGGAAGTCGCTGTGGCACAAAGTATGTTGTTGTCAGGAGGCTGGCTATATGTGTCATACCTATCATGTGTGTTCCTAGCTCAGGCTCCCTGACAAAAGACTGCAGGAATTCAACAGTTTGTTCCCATCTTAAGGACGCAGTTCTAATGACTGAGATCGTAAAGTATTGTCCCTTTGGGAGAAATATTTCAAGTCTATATTGATTTCTTGGATGATCAAATTATTATGTAAATGTTGCTTGCCTAACCACTGACCAGAAAGACCAAGCAATACTCAACCAGCTGATCATTTCAACATCAAATGTTTATTTCTATGCCATAGCTGCCTCAGCACAATTTATAAAAGAAAGGAATCCAAAAGAACTGATTATTATTATTTTTTTGGTCAGGATATTTTCTTTGCAGTTATAAGGAAGAAAATATACACATTGGTACCAGAATTGCCATTTCTTTCACACCATCTAGTAACTTGCATCTGTACTCCTTGGATGTCATTTTTGCTTAAGGATGGGGAAGATACCCACAGGAAAAATGTCTTGATTCATTCACATAACCATGTGAAAATTTTTGTGAGAGAATATAACTTTGTTTTGGTATACTATATCACTAATTGCTTCATTATTATTATTTAATATAATCGGCATACTTTATTACATAAACAAAGTGCACTAAAAATGAACAACGGTAGAAACAAACCGAACTTTGGTTTATCTTAAATCTTTGTGTGATTAGGTTATAGCTAAAGCATGGGAATACAAAGTTCATATCAATACGAACGCAACTCTCCTGTGATGGAAATGTACTTAATAGCCTACTCCTGTTTACTTTAGCAGGTAGGGAATCCAAAAACAACTGAAACAAGCTGATAACAAATTAAGGATGATGATGATGATGATTTTTTTTAATGAAAAGGAATGCTGTGCTTTCTTTAACTGGGTCCCGCATTCAAGGGAGCCAGAAGATGGCATCTGCTCTCCAGGTAGACTTCTCTTGCCTTATTTAGGACACAGATCCACCAAGACTTTTACAGCAGAAGGGGGCACCACTCCTCAGATCTTGAGGCCCTTGGAGAGGAGCCTATCGTCAGTGTGCCGTGTGGTGGAGGGCCAACACCCAGAGGACGCCGTGGTGCTTGTGCACAAGACTCCCTTCAGCAGACTCAGTGAAAGGATGAGAGTTCTTTAAGTTCATGCACATTTTATTGAGTAGTAATATAAAATGCTTTTTCTTTGTCATTGTTACAAGTGCATGCTTTGATTGCCAACATTTCAGAAGTCAATTACAAAGGCAAGGCTTTAGGCTGTAGTGAATTACTTGGGCACTTATACAATTGTTAAAAAATATGAATGGACTTTTGTTGTTTGTTGTTGTTTTCAGAATGAACCAGTTGTAACCCGTAACTGATATACAAAGGGAAAAAAGTGAAAAAGTACATATTTTGTGGCACATGACAGAACAGAACGAAGTAACTAAACTGCTATGACATTAACAGTTACCATGCATTTAGTTTCACATGTAACTACAAACTTATTTAAATTTCACAAGGTTTGCCCAACATGCTAACCATCTATGTGTGCACTGACAAGCTTATGTTAAAAACTTTTAAGAATACTTTCCCCTTTAGATTTTTTCAAAGCTTTTTTTTTGATTACAAAATTTCAAAGGCATTAAGCATTTTAGAGAATATAAAGTACGCCAGTATACATACATTTCCAGTATATGTCAGACCACTAAGCGCATTACAGTCCCCATACAGGCCGATACAGCCATTTTTTTTTTCTTAAAAAACATGCATAGGCAGATTTTTTTTTACAGAATATAGATGCTTTATGACTGCACTTAATATGGTGTGTTGTTCACTATACTTAAAAATGCACCACTCATAAATATTTAATTCAGCAAGCCACAACCAAGACTTGATTTATCAACAAAAACCCCTAAATATAAACAGCAAAAAAGATAGGTGTAATTATTCCAGTTTTTTTAAACTTAAAGAAAAGATATCCACTGCCAAATTAGTAAGTGTTATATTGAAAGAAGGGCATTCAAGCACACTAAAGGGGCCTGAGGTTAGCATGAGCTGTACAAAATTAAACTGTCCTTTTTTGGCATTTTAACAAATTTGCAACATTCTTTTTTTTTTTCTTTTTCAGTTTTTTTAAGACTTCCTAATTCAGTTTATAGCCATTGTCTGACAAGAGTAGCAAAACATTATCAATAAATAGTCCTTATTTAGTTTGTACATCATTTTGTTAAAAATGTTTGATGTCATCCATTTTTAGTGCTGCGACTGTAAACGTACAATAGAGTAAGAAATTAGACAAAGTTTTCATGTCCAGTAACAGAATAAAAGGCCTTTCATTACCCTATCTAGAAGTCCCCAATGCAATAGGAAAACATGTTCATTCCCTAACATTGCAGTATATACTAGCATTAGCTTTCTTTTAAAAATTTTTCCCTATAAGCATTTTTTTAAAAGGCATACCCAAAAAAGGTGTTTAATCACCACCCTCACCAAAATATAGTTTATTATCTCTTTCCCTCTTTTTTTTCATGATAGTGTAAACTGAATCCAATTCCTGGCCCCCATAGCAAATAGGCTATCGTCAGAGGCAAGAACATCCATCCAACTGCTGAGGTGCAGCAATCCCATCATGCCCTGCAGCTCAAAAA